GTTGCTAGCTGGCAGGTTTAATAAACAAAGGAATTCGTGCCCGAAGCTTGCCCTGGACGGCCGTGGACCGAACGGATCCCCCACCCACCGCCAAACCTTAGTGCAACGAGGCCTTAGCTGGCTTCGGCCTGTCGTCGATGTTCCCTGCACCATGTCACTCTCAGGGCCGCGTCCTTGGAGCGGCCTCTGGGAGCAGGAAAACCGAGTAGAGCCCATATTCTAAGGTAGGGGAGGGATGGGGAGGCTCCGAGTGCCTGGGTCCAGCACTCGGGACAATGGAGGTCACCTCTCTTCGAGGCCCTCTCCCAAATGCCATTTATCCCAGTGGCTGTAATCAGATTGACCAAGGGAAGGGACGTGCCTGTGGCCCTAGGCTCCTGTATCAGCCAGAATGTGCATTTTCACAGAGGCCCGAGCTTCCTGTAGGTCATTTCCCGAACTCCTTGCCTTGTGTGTGATCATCGTTGGGCTAACCACACAGGTAATCATCTTATTTAATCAATGTCAATACCACGTTTGCTTTGCTTTGGATTTATTGTTAATGTTTATATCTTTATTTACGTTTCATCAATCGTTGGGCATCAAAATTGAATTTTAAAAATCTCTACACGATCTGTGTATTGAAACTCCTTTTGATGTGATGAGATGCAAATCTGTACATATTATCAAAAATAAAATGCTACGGTAATAGCTTTGAAAAAGCTATTGAATTTGTATACAAAGTCGAATATCAAGCATTTCATTTAAAAATTATTTAACCAATAAAACGTTAGTTAGGTAATGTTAAATAGTTATTAAAAAGTTCTTTATTTGGGGGTGTCTGGGTGGCTCAGTCAGCTGAGCGTCTGGCTTTTGGCTTCGGCTCACGTCCTGATCTGACAGTTTTGTGGGTTCGAGCCCCATCTCGGGGTCCGTGTTGATGGCTCAGAGCCTGCTTGGGGATTCTCTCTCTCTCTGCCCCTCCCCCACTCACACTTTCTCTCTCTCAGAATAAACTTTCAAACAATGTTTTTAAAAAGTTTTTTTTAGGGGTGCCTGGGTGGCTTAGTCGGTTAAGCGTCCGACTTTCGCTTAGGTCATGATCTCACGGTTCGTGGGTTCGAGCCCCGCGTCTGGCTCTGTGCTGACTGCCAGCTCAGAGCCTGGAGCCTGTTTCAGTCTGTGACTCCCTCTCTCTCTGACCCTCCCCTGCTCACGCTGTCTCTCTCTCTGTCTCCTAGAAATAAATAAACATTTAAAAATAAATAAATAAATAAAATAAAAAGTTTTTTTTTAATTTTTTATGGCTCCATATTTTGACTTTATTTCTTACATCTTAATGAAATGGAGCATGTCCTTTAACTTCTCCATCAGTTTACTCACCATTCAAACGAGATTAATAATAGGACCTCATTATTGATTGTTGTAATCACTGGAAGAGATTTGTGTAAACAGCTTAACACAGGGAGTGACATACGGAAAATAACAAGTAACTCGTATAGACAGAGGGCAGTCAGGGGGGATTTGTTACACTACTGTGTCTTTTTCCTGCTTGAATTACTATGATAACACCCTCATAAAGAGGTACCACCCATCCCGTCCACACGGCTGATGCTCTCTTAAATATTTGGGGAGACGTTACATAAGGACACAAACTAGCCAACCAGTGAGAAATAACTCCCGAAGACTTAATGCACAGCATAGAGATTATAGTCAACAATATTGTATTATAAACTTCAAAGTTGCTACCAAACTGAATCTTACTCATACTCAATGCAAAAAAGAAATAATTATGAGATATGATAGAGCTGTTAGCTAATGCGACAGGGTTAATCATGTTGCAATGGATAAATGTATCAAATCAACATGCTGTCTACCTTTAACTTTTACAATGCTATATGTAAATTGTATCTCAATAAAAATTTATGAATTCTTTACCTCCTTTGGGGAATTACAAATGTTAGAGGAGGTGCATTTTCCTCAGCTCTGCTTTGTACATTCAGAGAATAGGCTGTCAGAATTCAGTGACTGCTCTTTAACTCCAGGGTTGGTGGTCTTTTAATGCAGACGGTGTCAAGGCAACTTTATTTTCTCAACTGCCTTTGGGAGAAAGATGACTTGCTATAAGGAGGCAAACATGAAATAGGAAAAAAAAGCCCTAACCACTGAGACCTCAGATCTGGGTTTTAGACCTTGTTTTGCTACTCCATAGCTATACGATCCCCAACAAACAATATATCTGGTTTGGGACACAGTATCTTATTTGTGGATGAATATGTCAAATTAGCTCACTGAGTTGAGCTCTATCTAACATTCTCCTCCTCCCCATTCTCTGTGCATTTGTCTTTCTTTTTACAAATATCACAGAGCTCACATAGCAAATCTTCTCGAACGTGAAAGGCCACTGTTGACTATAAACTGATAGAAAAGATAATAATTGAATTCATTATAGAAATGACACTATCCTTTATTGAGATGTGTGAGAAACACAAAACTGCTCTCTCTGGCAAAATGAATAAACATTTTAAAAATTGTTTAAAATAAAACAATTTTTAAAATCCGAAGCAGGCTTCAGGCTCTGAGCTGTCAGCACAGAGCCCAGTGCCGGGCCCAAACTCACAAACCTTGAGATTATGACCTGAGCCGAAACCAAGAGTCGGATGCTTAACCGACTAAGCCACCCAGGTGCCCCTACCTAATACGGTTTCAATATTAAAGCAAAGTGAGGGGAGCCTGGCTGGCTCAGTCAGTGAAGCATGCAACTTCTGATCTTGGGGTTGTGAGTTTGAGCCCCACATGGGGGTAGGCAGTACTTTAAAAAAAAAAAAAAAAGAAATCTTTTTAAAGAATTGCAATGAAAATTGCTCTCAGACAAAATTTTATATTTATGTTTATGTCCCAGAATGTTATTCTGTGATGAAAGCTTAAGCCTAATATTGAATTTTTTAAAACATTTGGGATGTATCAGTGAGCCAAAAATGTGCACTTGCAAATATGTATAAAGGGAGTCAGTACCTCATGCATTAGAGGAAGGAAAACTAGAAATTATTTGTGCCTGGTTTATAAATTATGGAAAAGTTTAAACAGCAGAGTTAAGAAAATAGATACCCAAATACAATGATGAATATAAAAGTAATTTTTAAAACATGAAAGTATTGCAGGTATGATCTTATTTGAGAAAAAAATGAATAAAACGCTATTATATAAACTCCACTTATATAAGCTTGGAAAATGTCTCAAAGTATATATAAGAAATCATCAAAGGGGCGCCTGGGTAGCTCAGTCGGTTGAGCGGGCGACTTTGGCTCAGATCGTGATCTCACAGTCTGTGGGTTTGAGCCCTGCATCGAGCTCTGTGCGGACAGCTCAGAGCCTGGAGCCTGTTTCAGATTCTGTGTCTCCCTCTCTCTCTCCCCTCCCCAGCTCATTCTCATTCTCACTCTGTCTCTCAAAAATAAATAAAAACGTTTAAAAAAATCATCAAGCATGGTTGACTTTAGAGAGACACACCAAGGACAGATGCAAGGTCTTTTACTTGCCATATTCTTCTCATATTGTTAACCATAAAAATATTACTTCTATAATTTGGAAAAAGTAATAAAACAAAGGATAAAAACATATACATATTTTGGCTGGTAAGATGCTAATCATTAACTTAATAGTCACAAATTGTGTATTCATAAAATTATAAACATAATTGTTTATGGATATTGATTATTGCTGATCGATCATAATTAATAAATAACTGAATATAGTCATTATGATTCATCATTTAATAATTCATTTAACTCATCCATTATGTAATTTCTTTTTATAAGTCAAAAGTCATTTGCTGATAAGACACGTGCTAAATACATATATATTTTATAATATATACATGTATAATTTTTAAACATTCTTCTATAAATCTATATAACTGTAAAATAGAAGGTGCAGAGGAAGTTGAGCAATACATTGAAACAATAAAAAGTCCCTTTGAGAACAAGGATATTTTTCTAACATGTGAAAAGTCTGTGAGTCATTGGTGTGGGGATTACCAAGTCATATATATATATATATATGTATACACATATATATAATGCCTCCTGACACCTGAGGCTTTTAATCAATAGAGGCCAGCTGGATCCTGTTCTTAAGTATTTTTAAGGAACAGAGTGGAACATTATTACAAGTCGCTAACCTTCCAGAGAACTCTGCATTTTTATTTTAAAGTCTAATTGAAATTGCTTCTTCTGACGTTCAAATTCATTTCTCCTTATATAGGTCACCTTATAAAACAAAAATTCCCACATAATTAGGAAAAAGAGAATGAAATTACCCACTGAGTTTCGAAGGTTCCAGAAGCTGTATTGTAACAGAAGGAATGGAGCTGAATTGCAAAGTAGTCCTACCATGTAAGGCGTAAAGGGGTCTCAACTGGGGCAGAAGTATGAGATCACTTTGACAGAAGGGATATAAACCCACAATACAACATACTCAGCACAACATAAATGCAAAATGATCAAGAGATGCAAGCAAAGGAGGAAGAAACAAACATGAACTATGAAAAGAAACTCACATGGCTGAGTTATCTGTGCCAAGTGTGAAGATTTAGTTTGTCTTCTTTCCCACCGACAAATGTGTGACAGTAAGCTCAGAAGTGAAACTGGGAGTACAGAAGTGGGCCCCACAAATATCAGAGACAGACTGAGGGATGAGTGAGGTCTGGAAGAAAGTAGACAATTTTTTTAAAGCAGGCTTCACATCCAGCACGAAGCCCAATGCGGGGCTTGAACTCCCCACAGTGAGATATCAGCCCTTTGAGCTGATTTCAAGAGTTGGACACTTAACCGACTGAGCCACCTGAGTGCCCCAAATAAAAGTATCTTATCCACCAAAAGAAAACAATATGTTTAAGCCCCTGATATTTCCCCACAGTCAGCCCATTTCTGTTGATACTTACCAATTCATCATTTCCCCATTTTGTTGTTTCCTAAGATGAGGAGACTCGTTGCCTGGTAAACTCCCTTGCCCTCCTTATGCAAGAAAGGAAACCCTGACTGAAACACAAAGCCACAGAACAAATTAATGTTATTATGTCTTAGGGCTGAACTTTCTAAAAAAAACAGAAAAGGATTCATTTTCCTTGGATCTTAGCAGCAAAATACTCCTGGACTCAGAAACTGATGAGAGAAGGAGAGAGAGAGAGAGAGAGAATGAATTCGTCCCAACCATCTACAACACAAGGCACAGGTAAAATTTGTAACTCTCTCTTTCTTGGGGGAATGGGGGAAGCAGTGATAAATATGTTGAGGGATAGGACAATAGAAACGTGTCCACTAAAGTAAAAGAAGGGAGACGGAGACAGAATGCAAGGGAAAGAACCGACAGTGGTGAGGAGACACTGTGTTGGCCTGAGGATTGCTGAGCCAGATTATAGGGAGAACCGAATCAGATTGCTGTTCCACCCTTTCCCTGTGTTGCATTGGGCAAGTCACCTCACTTCTCCGGAACCCACTTTCCCTGTCTGTGAAATGTTTATCGGGTGGGAAGAGGAGGAACTACGAGATGACTGCCCACGTTTTACATGAATGGGTTTACAAAGGGCTTGCAAGCGAAATGAGAGGCCAGAATGAGGAGGGCAGGAGCGAGACAAGGAAAGCAGAGAGGCTGAGAGGGAGGAAGGGAAAGACAAAGACAGGAAAAAGAAGGGGGAAAAAGCCTGGGAGACTTAAGAAGGAAAAACAGAACATCTATCTCAGTTCACGAGTCTTAGGATCAGCAATGGCTTCTTCTAGGGCTTCTAAAAGCTGATTCCCAGACCAGGCACTTGGCGACTCCACAACAGTTCTAATGAACTGTGAACTCTAGAGGTGAGGCCCCATTATCGGTGTTTAAACAAACTCTCCAAATGCTTCTGATGCATGCTGACGTCTGAGAATTACTCCATAGCGACAGCGCTAGTGAAGGAAATAAGTAAGGTCGAAGAAGAATCTCTTTCGTGGCTTGCTTAGGGAAGACTGGCCATGTTTGCTTATTTCTTTCTACAGAGAAAGGGTGCTTCTCTTCCCAAAGGCTCTTGTGGACAGTTGCTGGGGCCTCCATTCTGCTGCTCAGTGTCTGTTTTATCACCAGATGCGTTGGTGAGTTCTAAAGGTCAAGTTTAATCTCCCTGGTGAATCTTAATAGTTAAATCTTTCTTGTTACCTGCGGGTTCTGTTCTCCCCCAAAGGGTACTCATTCCTGTTCCGCTTTCTTCCCTTTTGATCTCCAGGTTATTCCTCAATTAGAACCCCAACTAAGTACAGAATGGTTACCAAATTTCAGCGACCTCTGACATGTTTTTCATGATAGACATTTTTCATTTCGTTGGTGGCCTTGAGTCTTTGCCTTCGTACTTCTATCATTAGTGGGAACTTCTCCGTGGGAACCTAGCCAGAGACATGACAAATTGCTTTTTGGAACAAGGGTAGGGAGGGCTGGCATAAGAGAAAGTGAAAGCGTATTTGTTTTCTCTGGGCCTTTGGACCTGAAATAAAGTACATTCATCTTCATGAATCAGGAAAACTGTGAAATGTGAATGCCCTCTCTTTCCTTGAGGAAGTAAAGCTTGGTACCTCTCCATGTAAAAGGACAAATAGAGAGTAAAAAAAGATATCATGATGATTGTTGGTACTTTTGTTACAAATACAAGAATGATAAACTTGGGGCGCTTAGGTGGCTCAGTCGGTTAAACACCCGACTTTGACTCAGGTCATGATCTCACAATTTGTGGGTTCGAGCCCCGCGTCGGGCTCTGTGCTGACAGCTCGGAGCCTGGAGCCTGCTTCAGATTCTGTGTCTCCCTCTCTCTCTGCTCCTCCCCCATTCATGCTCTGTTTCTCTCTGTCTCAATAATAAATAAACCTTAAAAAAATTTTTTTAAATTTTACAAAAATGATAAACTTAATTTTTTAGCAAGAATAATAAACATAAACTCTGCACTTTTCCTTACAGTAACGTATCATAGCTTTCAACTCTGTGATGAGAAAAAGTTCCAGCCATACGAGGATTTAATGGACTTCTCCTGCTACAAAGATAGATCAGGTATAATAGTCCTCAAATTTGAACATCAATATTTACATATCAACACTTTTTGGCTTCTAGCTTGATTTGGGGACAAGTAAAGTAGTTGGATGATGTCCTGTTTCTCAAAAACAAAATGTAAAATCTTGCCTGTACTAGGAGAGACTGATGAGGAATTGGTAAGAAGACAGGTCTAGAACTTTGAAAATGCGATTAGCATTGGACAGGAAAGCCTGGGCACGTGATAGCAAACTTTTAGAAGAAATTTGAGGTATGTGTGAACAGAAGATCTAGAAGTGGAAGGAGTGCTCTTTCTTTTCATTCCTCACTTGCTTCCCAATGAGATGAAGGAGAAAAAGATATAGAGACTAGGGAATTTGGAGATAGCTCAGAAATACATTCCCTATGGTCTCATGTATATAGATTTGTTCCAAGTCTTAGCAAAATGCTACATGATGCTCCTCTGGACCTTAATTTCCTCACCATTAAATCGAGAAACACTGAACTATTTCTTTTTAATAAAGTTCAAAGACTTATATTCTGTAAATATTCTAAGAAAAGTAGCCCATCTCTACAACCAGTTTGGAGATTTTATTGAGGGCATATTGCTTAGGCAACATGAGAGATGTTTGCTTAGAAGTCACTCAGATAAGATGCATAACTTTCTCTGACCTTGGCATTCTAAGAACAGTTAATAGAACTCTATATCAGTAGCATAACTGAGATAAATTGTATGTATGACTGCATTTTCTGACACATTTAGAAAACAAGGATTATGTCTCAGGGCACCTGGATGGCTCAGTCAGTTAAGCACCTCACTTCGTCTCAGGTCATGACCTTGTGGTTCTTGGGTGTGAGCCCCACATCGGGCTCTGTGCTGACAGCTCGGAACCTGGAGCCTGCTTCGGATTCTGTGTCTCCCTCTCTTTCTGCCCCTTCCTCACTCATACTCTGTCTCTCAAAAATAAGTAAATGTTAACACAATTTTTTTAATTTAGAAAATAAGGATTATGTCTCAAAAGACAAGAGAATTGCTAATTGTGTTTATTGATGTAGGAATTCTCTAGAGTCTTAGATAGTAAGATAGGAAGTGAGTAAGGACCAGGGGCTCCAAGGTACCAGTGAGACTAGTAATGATGAACTTTGTGAGGCCAGATGAAGCTGTTTTCTTACTTAGTTGATACATGACACTCAGGGAAACTTCTCTCCTTCTAGGTTCAGTCAAGAATTGCTGTCCATCGAACTGGGTCCATTTTCAATCTAGCTGCTACTTATTTTCTACTAACACCATGACCTGGGCGTCAAGTGTAAAAAACTGCTCAAACATGGGAGCGCATCTGGTTGTTATCAACACACAGGAGGAACAGGTAATCGGAGCACAGTCACCTCCAACATCAGTGTAACATCTTCACAGGATTTATCCCTCTTCCCATACATGTATATGCTGTTTGGTCCACAATGACTATTTGTTAAATGAATGTATTAAAATGCATGTTGTTCCTACTATGTCTATAAGTCGATACCTACTCTAATTTATTGTCATCACTGGAAGAACCTAAAGGGGAAAAAGAGAAATTTCCATGTTCAATACCTTTATTACCAAGACAGGAAAAGTGGGGGGGGAGGGGACGCTGAGAGTTCATTTTAGAATGACTATTGTACTGTTGAACGCATCATACGATTATGTCAGATATGCCAAAGATATATTCGTTCTCTTTAAGCTGTGATTAATAATCTTTCATGCTGGACATATACAGTAGCTCTTGCTACAAATAACAGTAGATCAACTTTAGTGAGTTATTGAGAAACTCCTTCTCTGTTAAAGGTTCTTTTTTGTTGGTTTAATTCTATGTTCAGTATATTTTTACCATGATAAAAAAATCAGGAGATACTCCTCCACGATCTTACAATGTCAGAGCCATTTATCTGGCACCTATAATCAATATCCTACTTTCTCTCTTTTAATAAGAATTACCTTTGACATTTGTTCAGAATGGAAATGATTGATCTTCTACTGGTTTTTTTCATTGTGTTTCTCCTCTAGGAATTCCTTTTCTACGCAAAACCTAAAAGGAGAGAGTTTTATATTGGACTGACGGACCAGGTGACTGAGGGGCAGTGGCAATGGGTAGATGGCACACCTTTCACAGAATCTCTGAGGTAATTTCCTTCTTGCAGGACAATTTTAATGCTGTCTCAAGTCTCAAAGTTAGACCATTGTTGAGGGGAGTTCTCAGAGCCTCCTTCTATCCCATGAGATATTTTCAGGTCAATCCTTGGTAATTTTACATGCAAGAAGATAGTCGAAGGAAGCATGTGAACCTCATGCTCCCACTTCCTGAGACCATCCGAAGAATAAAGGGGAAATAACAGACGAAAGTGAGGAGGGCATTAGAACCGAAGACCAATTCATTGGAAATGCAGCGGAAGCAAGGAGTGAAATTCAGAGTCTTGTACCCCCAAACTAGTAAATGTGACCAGAAACAGTGATTTGAGAAAGCCGATTTAGGGAGTGAAAGCGGGGACTCCCTTGATAATGTCTCTTTTCTCTTTGATGGTGACCTTACGTCATCAGAGCACAATCCTTTGGAGGTTTCATAGTTTTTCTCTCACTAATTATTTCATTTCATGTAAATTACACCTTTCCGAGACACATCGATATCATTAATCTTCATTTAACATTTGAGGAAACCAAAGGTCAGGAAGATTAAATCAATTCTAAAAGCACAACCGCCATGCACTGAGAGATTTTAGAAAGTTGCTTCACTATAGCATTATAACACCACAAAGGATGCATCTACATTAATACAAACTCAGTGCGGAATAAAGGGACCCAAATGTAAGTTGAGACACGAGGTGAAGGAAACAAATTCACGAGTATCGGTGCTTCCCATAACTTCTCATTCTGGGTCTACAGCCATGAGGAAGCACAGACTAGAAAATCAGGAATATCCAGTTGGGCTTCACCACCCATGAACTCTGAGACGTGGACTAATGGTTTGGCTTTTCCAGGATCCCATTCATTCATCAATAAAATGGAGTTTATAATGCCTGACTCACAAAATGGTTGCGAAGTCACCCAACACAAATGTCATTGGCCTAGAATCTTAGGTCACATGGCTTCCTGTCGCTGAGATTTTAAGTCCCCCATATTTGCTCTCTTTCAGCTTCTGGGATGAAGGGGAGCCCAATAATATAGTAACAGTGGAGGATTGTGCCACTATCCGAGATTCTTCAAATCCGAGGAAAAATTGGAATGATGTGCCCTGTTTCCTCAATATGTTTCGGATTTGTGAAATGCCTGAAATAAGTGCTTTAAATAACCAAAAAATCCTTTAAGAACAGAAAGCACAACTGAAATGCTTAAATACAGAGGAACAAGAGCATGAACACAACACCAACATGAGAAAAGTGTGCACCGCACTTATTAAGAACTACACAGGGACTTCATCAGGACTTTGTTGCTCTTGATATAAACAAATAAGTAGTTTGGGGGCACCTGGGTGGCTCAGTCGGTTAAGCCCCGGACTTCATTCGGCTCAGGTCAAGATCTCACAATTCATGAGTTCGAGCCCCACATCAGGTTCTGTGCTGACAGCTCAGAGCCTGGAGCCTGCTTGGGATTCTGTGTCTCCCTCTCTCTCTGCCCCTCCTCTGATCACAATCTCTCTCTGTCTCTCTCAAAAATAAATAAACATTAAAGAAAAGTTTTTTTTAAAGATTTTAAATAAAATAAGTCGTTTTGAATGTTATAATTTGTGATCCTGATTGACATGCATTTTTCTCTATTTTAGTCTCAGGACTTCTCTAAATTTACCAAACAATTCTCTAACCAATGCTGGGAAAAGTAAAGAATACTCCTTTTGGTACATTTGCTTTGTGAATATTTATTTGAAAATATAGAGATATACATCCAGTACAGAGCCCAACAATGAAGAGGATTTTCTTTTTTTTTTTTTTTTTTTTTTTTACAAATAGTTTATTGTCAAATTAGTTTCTACATAACACTCAGTGCTCATCCCCAAAGTGCCCTCCTCCATGCCCATCCCCCCCTCCCCCCCACATCCATCAGTCCTCAGTTTTTGTCAGCATTCAAGAGTCTCTCATGGTTTGCCTCTCTCCCTTTCCCCCACCATTTCCGCCCTTCTTCTCCCGCTTGTTCCTCCGTCAAGTTCCTCCTAATCCTCCTATACGTGCAAACATATTATATTTGTCCTTCTCTGCCTGACTTATTTCGCTCAGCATAACACCCTCAAGGTCCATCCATGTTGCTACACATGGCCAGATTTCATTGTTTCTCATTGCCATGTAGTATTCCATGGTATAGATAAACCACATCTTCTTGATCCATTCATCTGTTGATGGACACTTAGGCTCTTTCCATGTTTTAGCTATTGTTGAGAGTGCTGCTATGAACATTGGGGTACATGTGCTCCTATGCCTCAGCATTTCTGTATCCCTTGGGTAAATTCCTAGCAGTGCTATTGCTGGGTCATAAGGGAGTTCTATTGTTAGTTTCCTGAGGAACCTCCACACTGTTTTCCAGAGGGGCTGTACCAGTTTACATTCCCACCAACAGTGCAGGAGGGTGCCCGTTTCTCCACATCCTCGCCAGCATCTAGAGTTCTCTGATTTGCTCATTTTAGCCACTCTGACTGGCGTGAGGTGGTATCTCAGTGTGGTTTTGATTTGTATTTCCCTGATGAGGAGGGATGCTGAGCATGGAGGATTTTCTTTTTTAATTGTCTTTCATTTTTTAAAAATTTTATTGTGTTTATTTTGTATGTCAAAGATTAATTATAACAGAGGCTTAAAAAGTAATTCCAACTAACAAAGCCATATATCCATAGGTCAGATAGGAGTGACTAAGAATCCCATCAACTAATCCATTACATTTGCTGGTTATCATTAACCCAATAGCTGGCATAATGCTGGCAAAGCTTGTCACAGAGATCAACCCAATGAACCAATTTATTTTTAAGATATAGACGAACCGTTGATTTTAAAACCTACCTCACTGGACTCACCTCTATAGAAGCTATCCAGTGCTATATTGTTAAGTGGATATATATGAAATCTCCAAGAAACAATATTAATAACTTTTATAAAATAGATCATAAATTTGCAGTGAAGCAAAAACACCTTTATATTTTCCTTCAGGATATCAAAATATAAATATAAAAATATATAAATACATATAAATACTGATATAAATAAATCAAAAAGGGTTTATAATTTCATTAGCATCTTGAGAAAAATAGCCCTACTAGGAATAAAACTCAAAATAACTATACAGAAGATTTTTTAAAAATTTAAATCCAAGTTAGTTCCCATATAGTGTAATAATGATTTCAAGAATGGAATTTAGTGATTCATCACTTACATATAATACCCAGTGCTCATCCCAACTGGTGTCCTCCATATTGCCCATCACTCACTTAGCTCATAATACCCTGCCAGCAACCCTCAATTTGTTCTCTGTGTTTAAGAGTCTTTTATGGGTTGACTCCCTCTCTGTTTTTATATTATTTTTGCTTCCTTTCCCCCATGTTCATTTGTGTTGTTTCTTCAATGCCACATATGAATGAAATCATATATTTGTCTTTGACTTGTTTTGCTTAGCATGATACACTCTAGCTCCCTCCACGTCATTGCCAACGACAAGATTTCATTCTTTTTGATGGCTGAGTAATACTCCATTGTATAGATATACCACATAAAGAAGAGGCTTTTCAAAGCACCTTTGAACAATCTTCTGAATTCAGGCTCTGTGTCAATTCTTCTCCTTTCTGGCTCCTGGAAAGTCTGCCTTCTCTTCTTGATTTCTTACTGTTTTCATCCCTGCCAGAGCATGTATCCTCACTATGCTCTCATACAACCAATAAGAAACCTCCTCAAGTCATGAAACTTATTCTTACTCCAAACACATGTGGAGCCTTTCTGGCTAAAGTCTTTTACTGCACCTAGCTAGGGAAACGCCAGGTTATAACCTTCAACTCCAAACAGACTGTGGTTTTGTCTGTTCATCCCAAGGACTCCTTTTACTCTTTATTCTCTTCCACTGAATAACTGAACTTCACTTGGATTTGTGGCTATCGCTCAGTTAGGGCCAGGGTTCAACAGCCAAGTTGTTCTAAGAGAACACTCAACTTGATAATTTCCTATCTCAAGCCTATCCACGAACTGCATAATATTTTAATCAGTGCTTATAAGGTGATTCAAGAATACTTAAATAACGTGGCACCTATAAGAACCACACTTCTTGCACACAGCACCATAGAGAGACCCTCAAAATTCATACACTGAAATTAATGTGTAATCATTAGATGGGAAAATTCAACTGGGTGACTATAGTATATGGTAAAGCCTTGGATTGAGAGTAACTTGTTCTGCGAGTGTTCTATAGACAAGCAAGCATTTCCAATAAATTTTAACTTGATAAATGGACGATGTCTTGCAATATGAGTAGTATGTGACACTGAATGTCATAGGATCACAACTGAGCCAATGGTTCTTCTCTCTCTCTCTCTCTTTTGCTGCGGGATTATGGGTGATCACTTCCCATGTTCAGATGCTCAGTCTCAGACTGCAACGTTTGGCAGAAATCAATGATTTTTCAGAACATTGGAAGATGCCCACAACTGGCACTAGTGTATTTTTTGTCACTGCAAAGCACCTATGGACAGTCCTTTGCTTTTCTGTACAAGAGTAAGTTTAGAAATGTTTTACTTCATTCTAGGTCAGGCTGCCTGCAGATATAGACCCTTTCCTCTGTTGCCGTATTGCCAGTTACATTAAATATAGTATATGCCAAGAGTTTATCGACACTATACTGAAGTCAACATTCGTGTGAGTGTATACAATGGCCCCTGTGCAGAAAAAGGTTTTATTGAGCCAACAGATAGCAGTGATTCTGTTAGTGATAGTGAAAGTCGTCCTACACAATAACCTTCCTCTCTCTGGTCTCCCTCACACCAGCCATGAACGTATTCAAAGCTAAGGGCAGGTTAATTGGCTTTATTTTTCTTTATATTTTATATTTTCTTTGTTATTTTGTATTATATTACAGTATTGTAATCATTTTTATATGAATATTTTGGGGATGTGGAATGAATCATCTGAGTCTCCATTATTTTTTATAGGGAAATTCACTTTGATATACAAGTGCTTTGGATTACAAGCATGTTTCTGAAACGAATTATGCTCGCAACCCAAGGTTTCGCTATATTAGTTTTCCTTAAAATGTTTATTCCTCTTAGATATATGTGACAATATGTAGTTTTCTTTATTTTTATTATATAAAGGAAACATTTCTCACTTAAAAATTATTTCAGATTATGATAAACCAATATAATGAAATACTATTTACTTATATGGAACAATATATAAACATTTTCCAAACTATATTTTTAGGTAAAAAATGTAAGATGTTTTCCCCAAAAAGCAAATAATCCAATTTAAAAATGGGCAGAAGACATTAACAGACATTTCTCCAAAGGCATCCAGATGGCCAACAGGCACATGAAAAGATGCTCAACATCACTAATCATCAGAGAAGTGCAAATCAAAACCACAATCAAAACCTCATACCTGTCAGAATGGTTAAAATAAACACACACACACACACACACACACAAGAAACAAGTGTTGGGGAGGATGTGGAGAAAAGGGACCCCTCCTGCATTCATTAGTGGGAATGAAAACAGGTGCAGCCACTGTGGAAGATAATATGGAGGTTCTTCAAAAAGTTAAAAATAGAAATACCCTATGATCCAGTAACTGCACTACAAAGTATTTACTCCAAGCGTACAAAAACACTAATTCAAAGGAATACATGCATCCCAATGTGTATAGCAGCATTATCTACAATAGCCAAATGATGGAAGCTTAAAGAAGATGTGGTGTATATACAATGGAATATTATTCAATCATATAAAAGAATGAAATCTTGCCATTTGCAACAACATGGATGGAGCTAGAGAGTATAATGCTAAGTGAAATAAGTCAATCAGAGAAAGACAAATACCACATGATACCACTCATAGGTGGAATTTAGGAAACAAAACAAAGGAGCAAAGGAAAAAAACAGAGAGACACAAACCAAGAAATAGACTCTTTTTTTTTCTTAAATAATTTGTCAAGTTGGTTTCCATATAACACCCAGTGCTCATCCCAACAAGTGTCCTCCTCCATACCCATCTCTCCCCTTCCCCTCCCCCCTACCCCTATCTGTCCTGTTTGTTCTCAGCATTCAAGAGTCTCTCATGGTTTGCCTCCCTCCCTCTCCCCCACTATTTTACCCCCCTTCTTCTCCCCCATGGTCCTCCATTAAGTTCCTCCTAATCCTTCTATATGTGCAAACATATGGTATCTGTCCTTCTCTGCCTGGCTTATTTCATTCAGCATAACACCCTCAAGGTCCATCCATGTTGCTACACATGGCCAGATTTCATTCTTTCTCATTGCCATGTAGGACTCCATTGTATAGATAAACCACATCTTCTTGATCCATTCGTCCGTTGATGGACGCTTAGGCTCTTTCCATGACTTGGCTATTGTTGAGAGTGCTGCTATGAACATTTGGGCACATGTGCCCCTATGCATCAGCACTCCCGTATCCCTTGGGTAGATTCCTAGCAGTGCTATTGCTGGGTCATAGGGGAGTTCTACTGTTCATTTTCTGAGGAAACTCCACATTGTTTTCCACAGAATTGGACCCACAAATGTATGGCCAACTAATCTTTGACAAAGCGGGAAAGAGTATCCAATGGAAGAAAGACAGCCTCTTTAACAGATGGTGCTGGGAGAACTGGACAGCAACATGCAGAAGAATGAAACTCGATCATTTTCTCACAGCATACACCAAAATAAACTCAAAATGGATAAAGGACCTGAATGTGAGACAGAAATAGACTCTTAACTACAGAGAACAAACTGATGGTTACCAGAGGGGAGGTGGGTGGGGGGCAGGGTGAAATAGCTGAGAGGATTAAAGAGTACACTTATCATGATGAAAACAAGCAAGCAAACAAACAAAAATCCCTTAGATTTGTGGGGGAAAAAATTGCAAGATGTTTAAGACAATGTAGATAATGTTGCTATTAGTATAAAAACAGTAGGTTATATATGTATATACATTTATATAACACATATAAACATACACGGAAATACATAGAAGAAACTGAACATCGTAATGACCCTGAAGAGGCATTTAAGGGACTGGAGTTCAGGGTGGAAGATTTAACTGATACTTTTATTCACATCTTTACTGTTTGCTTTATATATATATATACACACACACACACACACATATATATACTACTTTTTCAAAGACAAAACCAGTATTTAAATTTTTTAAGTTTTTCAAATTTCTAGGCCTACCACAATGCTTTTAAAATTTTGCGTTTATTTTTATGAAAATTACTGTCAGGTGTCTTAAAGAAATTATGAAGAATAGAAGTGCCATGAGAGTTGGGAATAGATTGAAAGGGCCCAAGGGTGGAAACAGGGAGACCAGTCAGCAGGCCATCGCAATAATCCGGGTAAGGAAGATGGTCTGTGCTAGTCACCACGGAGGTAATGAAAAATAATTAGACTGTGAGAAAATAGATTAAGGACATAGATGCCGACACAGATGTATAAAATCACATAGAGAGCACATTTTATTGACAACTGAATCTCTACCTATATAAGGAAAAATGGACAATATTAACAATACATTTTAGCATTTACATAAAATTATTACAAGTTTTGTAGATTTTGTGCTATGTAATTAGTGACTATGGCAAACAATTAAAATCACTTAGCACTACTTCAGTTAAAAGTATCAGCTTTAAAAGCAGACACACACACATAAGCACATACACACTCAATAATCAATCAATCAAACACTAATCTTCCAAATGCAGAAAATCACTAAGTAATTTACAAACTAAATACTGTTTTTAAAAATAGCGTTAAAGCAGTTAGGTAAAAAAGTCGTTGCTTCACGTACCTAAATGGTTCAGTCAGTTGAGTGGTTGAGCATCTGACTCTTGATTTTGGCTCAGGTCATGATTTCATGTTTGCAAGATGGAGCCTTATATGGGGCTCTGCGCTGCTGGCACAATGGACCCTACTTGGGATTCTCTCTCTCCCTCTCTCTCTGCCCCTCCTCTGCTCATGCTTGCTCTTTCTCTCTCTCTCTCTCAAAGTAAAATAAACTTTAAAAAAACATCGCTTGAAATTGTTTAGCTTAGATTCAGGAAACATCAGCAAACTGAGAATGTTAAGAAAGACCAGCACAGGGGCGCCTGGGTGGCTTAGTCGGTTAAGCGTCCGACTTTCGCTTAGGTCATGATCTCGCGGTTCGTGGGTTCGAGCCCCGCGTCGGGCTCTGTGCTGACTGCCAGCTCAGAGCCTGGAGCCTGTTTCAGTCTGTGACTCCCTCTCTCTCTGACCCTCCCCTGCTCACGCTGTCTCTCTCTCTCTCCTAGAAATAAATAAAACATTAAAAAAAAAAATAAAGAAAGAAAGACCAGCACATTTTGGATAGGACTGCTTCACAGCTAACACTAGTGACATGACAAAAGTGTCATTTCATGTTGTTAAGACAATGACTTCCTTGCTAGTTGGACTCTAGCTGTATAGCTCTAAGAAGACATGCTAACATAAATGAGCTGAAAACATGATGTTTTTTCTGATTCAGGTTAAAAATGTAGAAACGCTAATACAATGTTAGAACTTTCATCGATTAGTCAAGAAGTCAAGTCACCCCGGTAACTTTCCTGTAATACCAAAGGTAATACAGTTTGCCTCTCATGAAGGTTAGTTCTGGGCCACAGCCCCGCTTCTCTCATGAACTAGCAGTGTTCAGGTTGAGCTCTCTGGCTTCCCATGGGTCCTGTTTCTTCATCTACAGAGTTGAAGGAGTTTGGTTACGGTGGCCTGTGAGGGACTTATCCACTCGAAAAGAAATTAAGTCAGCTTGGGATCCCACTGCTTTGGGAAGCTATTTAAGGTAGAGTAAGAAGTAAAGTTTTTTTTTAAGGTATTGACTTTCTTTTTTTCTATCTTGGCAATACTACCATTCAGAACGTCTACACTGCCATTCAGAAAACATTTTGCTCATGGAATGTCAATCTAATGACTGATACTCTTTAAAAGTCTGGGGATGAGGCATTGAACAATGAAAATGTTGTTTAAAAACTTTAAAGGGCTTGTCATATTTGGGGGAAAAAAAATGGCATGCCTCTACCACTTAGAATACCTTGCCTTTGAATTTTAAGAGCTAAGAATCCAAGTAGAGGAGAACAATGACTAAGAGATGACCTCATTTGAGCCATTCTGTTTGAGATATAATCGATGCTCCCCAACTGAAAAGAAAAAGCTTTGATACACTATCAAGAAAGCAAAGTTAATGAGAATGGATTCTCACAGAAAAGATGACTCCTGCCCCCAAACCACACCAAAACACGTTGTCTCAAACAAATAGAATGATAATAAATAAGGCCATCGTAACTGAAAAAGGTTCTGTTTTCTCAGCACATTGTCTCTCTTCCCTTGGTGCAGGTACACGCTGCCCTGGTCGAATTGGTTCTTCTTTTCTGTCACCATCACCAGGACTCTTCTGGAGGCTTCTAGCTGAAGGCTGTTCCAGGTAACTTACAAATCCTTCTTGTCTCGAAGTTACAAGGAAAGTCATTCCAGGCCCATTTGTCTTGGACATTAACAAGGACAACACAGTTTTCTCCTTGATAGTTGTTGGGTTCGCCTTCATGCCAGAATCTAAAATGAAAAAAATATACATGGGTATGTATTTATATTTACATGTATGCGTGTGTGAGTGTGTGTAGATCAGGAGACATGCAGAGAAAATGTCTCTGGTGAAAAATTTAGAGCTGCCCTCTCTAATAGAAATATTGTAGTTTCTTAGTAGAGAGGTTACTCCATACATCGTGCTCGACTCTGAGCAAGCATGTCTATATTGGTATGCTTTGGCCCAAACGAATTCTCCTTGCTATCTTTTCATCTTTGCCTAGAAAGTTTTCACCCCCAGTCCATATACTTACGAAATTTTGGGGTCAAACGGTGTCTCGTCCACCCAGGACCACTGGCCCTCATGGTTCTCATCTGTAAGTCCCACGAAATACGAAAAGCGACTATCCAACAATTGAATGATAAAGTTCTGCATAAAAAATGTAAACTTTTGTAAGTATATTTGTATTTGTCGTTTCATAGCTGTGTTTCATGGTAGGAAAGGGGGAGGCAAGGTCAGATGGATTACTCGCTAAGCACGGGAGCACTGTCACCAGACAGATCTGCTTTCAATCCTGCCTCTGCCACATATTGCGGAATGTTCGTAAGTGCTTTACCCTCACCAAACTCAAGATTTCTCATCTCCAAAATCGACAACTCTACTACTTCACAGAGTTACTGTGAAGCTTAAGTGAGGTCATACTTGCAAATCTCTTAGCACAATGCTTAAAGGGATCGGATTTTTTTTTAACTTTCATTTTTAAAATGGCCTCTTTCATTGCTTGTGTATGAAATTAAGTTCCGGTTTATTCAAAGGGTCAGTGAACCTGTAGATTGCAAAGCCATGGGAACAGAATTCTCCAGGAAACCCCCCTTCCCAAATAAAGAGTAGGAGTTAGGGTACATCTATGGAAGTATATTACATGAGGAAATGAATTCGTTTTTAAGAAACCAAATTAAACTTAAGAATTGTTTTTTATTTAGAATCACAACCATACAGCTGAATTATTCTTCCTATGCTGCATCCTGAGAAGCTATTCCAGTCCTGATTAACCATTCATTGATTCACTTACTCACCAACCGTGTATCAGGTCCTACCCAGTGTGCCTAGTGCTGTACAAGACTTTGGCGATGCAGAGATGAGGAAAGCATGGCCCCTGCCCTCTACAAAGTCAGAGTCATGGGAAGAGATGGGACAGTGAATGGAGAGCCTCCCAGTTAACACCAGTGAAGCAAGAGCCATGATCACACAATACACAAAGTACCACGGAAGTATCTCCACGCTAGAACGGGGAGGCTGGAGGAGGGAGGGTGGTCAGGGTCACTTTCTGGAGGAAATAATCCATGAATCGAATCTGGAAAGCACAGAAGCTGGCCAGATGAAGAAAAATGAGGAGGAAAGAGACAACCGACGAAGCAAAGGCATGGAGACAGATCAGAGAAATTCCTCTTTCTCTGCAAAGAGATTCAAACCAGCAGAGAGACTGCTGTGAGATTGGAGCCTCCCAGTGTACCTGCTCAGCTTCCGTGCTTATGGTGGCCAGATGAGCCCCCATGCCCGTGCAGTTCCTCTCACTCTTGGCCCACGTGTTGTTGTCATTAAGAGCTAAGTAGCAGCTGGACTGAAAGGATCTCCAGCCAGTAGGACAGCAATTCCAGGTGCTCGTGCCTGAGGAAATTGACATGAAAGTTACTTACAAGGAGCATTTCATCTGGAACAGACTGCATCACCTTTCTGCCAATAATACCGTGATTGCCAACATCATCCTATTGCCCCTTTTAAAAACAATCCAGAAAGTTACATTCTAGATGTTCTCTAAACAAAAAGTATCTGAATTACATAACGACTATGAGAAAATTACAAGATATTCCCTTAAAGATATCACCATTTTTCCATGTTCCTACGTGTATCTTCTAGAACAAAGCCTTTTACAGAAAATTTTATCTAAAGGGGCAAAGAACCTACTAGAACTTTCAAGCATTTCTCCATTTTCCCAAATGGGATTTTACAAATTCTAGAATAATAAGAGAGAAAGTCCCTTCAGCAAAGCTGTATATTCTAGGAGGAAACAGTTGTTGAGATAGATCTGAATCGAAAGAAAATGGAATTCAATTAATGCTTTGTTTTGGATGCCAAAAATGGACCCTAAGTGTATTGTTCTATTCAACTGATTACAGTCATGAGAAATCTATTTCTATTTATTGGTGTTCATCCTTGCACCAGATACTCTTGGTTTTTTTTTTTTTTTTTTTTTTTTTTTTTATTTTTTTTTTTTACAAATAGTTTATTGTCAAATTAGTTTCTACATAACACTCAGTGCTCATCCCCAAAGTGCCCTCCTTCATGCCCATCCCCCCCTCCCCCCCACATCCATCAGTCCTCAGTTTTTGTCAGCATTCAAGAGTCTCTCATGGTTTGCCTCTCTCCCTTTCCCCCACCATTTCCGCCCTTCTTCTCCCCCTTGGTCCTCCGTCAAGTTTACTCTTGGTTTTTAATCTCTCCTGGTTACTATTGATTCCTTTAAATCAGATTATGGGGGCGCCTGGGTGGCTCAGTTGGTTGAGCATCCGACTTCAGCTCAGATCATGACCTCACAGCTTGTGAGTTCGAGCCCCGCCTCAGGCTCTGTGCTGACAGCTCTGAGCCTGGGGTCGGCTTCAGATTCTGTGTCTCCCTCTGTCTTAACCCCTCCCCCACTTGCACTCACACTCTCTCTCTCAAAAAAAAAAAAAAAACATTAAAAAAATTTTAAATCAGATTATGAACCTGAATGGAAATGGAAGTAAGAAAGAAATTCTCCTATGCCCTCTGCTGTTCATACCTTTCTGTTTTGATTCCTCTTTGGCGCATGTTATCTTCGTGTAATACTCTGGTAACTTGAACATTCCAGTGCCTCTTCTGCAGCGTAGAAAGTTGTGATGAGTCACTGTCAAGGGGGAAAATAAGTTAGTTTTCTTTTCTGGTATAACCACTTAATTAGGGAAACGGGGACGGGCCACTCTGACCTTTCTCTTCCCCTAAGAGTTCCGGTACCTACTCCCCTTTCTTACTACGCAGCTCCTCTGTTCCAGCTCCGGGTGAACTGGCTGAAAGAAGGTGCCAAAAATTAATTTTTTTGTTATCATATTATCCATTTTGGGCTTTCTGGAAGGAGTCCTGCAAGCCTTTGTTTTTTCTCAGAATCGGTGTTAGGATAGAGATTTTTTTTTAGTAAACACAGGGATCATTCTGCCAAGTTTTATGAGCCTTATACATTATTTCTCTTTTAAATATTTTTACTTTGAAACATAACCAAGTGCAAAGAAGCGAAAAACACAAATGTAGGCTTTATCACATTATGTAAAGTGCGCACTCCAGGTCGCAACAACCCGGCTTAAGAAACACAACCTTGCCAACACCCCACGTGGCCTTCACATCCCAGCAGATACAACTCACTTTCGGTGGTAAGGTAACTACTCTGTGACTCTTAAAGTAATCACTTTGTGCTTTGCCTCTCAACTGCACCACTTAATAACATATCCCTAAACCATACAGATCAGATTTGCCTGCTTTTTGAGCTTTCTATAAAGAAACTCCTAAAATATGAGCTCTTTCCGTTCTCTCGTTTGCTCAATGTTATTTCTGAAATTTGTCTATATTGTCACATGCAACCATAATCGATTAATTCTTACTGCTATAAAGTAATCTGCTGTCTTAATGCACGAAAATATATTTATATATTTTTTTTCTGGTAAATATTGGCACTGCCTCTCGTGTTTGACTCCTGTGAACTATACCACTTGGAGCATTTTTGACCATGCATCCTAGAGCACATAAACATGCATTTCTGCAGGATGATATATGCCTAGGAATGGAATTACTGGTAATAACATATGCATATTGCCAACTGTAACAGTGGTAAACTTTTCCTAAGTGGTTTTACTGCTCTCCGCTCCCACGGGCAGCAATTCATTGGAGGTCCAGTCGCTCCCCACCATCAAAAGCCAGTAGCGCCAGGCTCTTTAACTGTTGCTATCCTGGTCTGTTCGCAAAGGTATCTCACTGTGAGTTGAATTTGCATTTCCATGAAAACAACTAAGTTTGATCTTTTTTATGCGCTCATTAGACATTTCAGGCTTTTCTATCATGTCTATTCAAAATTTTGCCAACTTTTCTGCTGCATTGTCAGTATTTTTTCCTATTGATTTGAAAGAATTGTTTATATATACTGTACACTAAATTTTTTAATCAAAATTTTTATTCATTAAAAACACCGTCTCCAATGGCTGTTTTCTTTTTTGGTATTTTTGTTGTAGGGTCATTATTACTTGAATATAGTATAATTGGTCAATATTTTCTTCACTGGCTAGTCACTGGCATTGTGACTTATGTAAGAAATCATTCCCGGGGCACCTGCGTGGCTCAGTCAGTAAGCATCTGACTTCGGCTCAGGTCATGAACCCACAGTTCGCGAGTTCGAGCCCTGTGTTGGGCTCTGTGCTGACAGCTCAGAGCCTGGAGCCTGCTTCAGATGCTGTGTCTTCCTCTCCCTTTCTACCCCTTGTCCACTCATACTTTGTCTCTCTCTCTCTCAAAAGTAAACATTAAAAAAATTAATAATAAAAAAGAAATCATTCCCTGCCTAAGATATGAACATTTCTCCATTTACCTTCTGAAAAATACTATTGATTTGCTTTTCACATTTTAGCCAATAATCCACCTTGGGTTGGTTTTGTACATGATATAAGACAGGAGACTGATTTCATTGTTTTAAATAAGGAAGATCAATGGTCCTCTAGCACATTAATTGACCAAATCTGTCCTTTCCCTATAACTGCAATATCCCCTTTTGTTTTATATAGAGTTCATACATGCAGGATCTGTAACTAAGCTCTCTTTACCTTTCCTCTGCTCTGTTCGTCCATACTTGCACCCATGCTATATCACTATAATTATAAGAACTTTATACAAGGTCTCACTATTAGAAAGAACAACTCTTTCAACCACTCTTCTTTTCAAAGCCAGACTACAATCCATCAGAAAGTTGGGTCTTTCCTGGTTACTCTTTAATGGTAATTTTTTACTGCCCTTTGCAATCTCAGTAAAAAATGGGGTCTGAGTTACTCTGGTCACCACCCTTCACATGTATAGGAAAAGGTCTAACTTCCATATTTCACTTCCTTACACAAGACAGCACCGGCAAAGAATAGAAGGTTAAATACAGGACGGAGCCCTGGATCTTAAATTCAAGACCCTGAAAAACATTATGAATTGAAATGTTAGAGGAAAACCAAGGAAACAAAAGGCTTAGAGTAACTTTATGAAAGTTGTTTGGGAGGGGCACCTGGGTGGCTCAGTCAGTTCAGTGTCCAACCTCGGCTCAGGTCATGATCTTTTGATTCATGAGTTTGAGCTATTGAGACCCCAGGCTCTGTGCTGACAGTTTGGAGCCTGGAGCCTGCTTCAGATTCTGTGCCTCTCTCTCTCTCTGCCCCTCCCCTCTCTCAAAAATAAATAAACATTAAACATTTTTTTCAAAGTTGTTTGCGAAAATAATTCACAAAGAGTTCCACTTTCAGTAATGACTTACCCAAGCAATTTGCAATAAAACAAGCACTGAGGAGTAAGATGAAAAAAATAGCAATGGCCCAAGGGATCAGGTGGGAATGCTGGCCTCCTTCTACAAGGACAAAAAGAAATATAAATAGATTGTCTTCTCAGCCACAGGAACTAAGGAAAATACTCTACTGAGGAGGAAGCTAAATATGAGATCACTCAAAATATTTTAGATCTAGCAGAGAGCTTAAAGATTTCTTCCTGAATAAATCCATTTTAGAGCTTACTGATACACATGTACATGCATAAAAATGTAAAGATATTTTTGAATAAGAGAGGCTTTTGATAAGCAAGACACAAAACCCCCAAATCGCAAAAAAGAGCCCCAGGTAAACTGCGAGCCTTAGTCATCGTGTTTTGTAGATCTTCCTTCTTCCTCTTGCCTTTAAAAGAATCTTCCCGAATTACTCTCTTTCTTCCCATCTTATTTTTTCTTTTGTTTACTTTATCTTCTCTCCTGGAGTTTGCATTTCATAAAAAAGTTTCTCTTACCCAACATATTCGAATCTATCTATGGCCTTCCTCTTCACCAAAGTCATTGTCATTTCGTTTAATGTCTTCCTCCTCCTCATCTTCAATCTTCAAAACTATAATTTTGTTAATTCATGTTTTTAAATCCTTGTCTTAATTCTGGGGCACCTGGGTGGCTCAGTGAGTTAAGTGTCTGACTCCTGATCTTGGCTCAGGTCATGATCTCATGGTTCATGAGTTTGAGCCCCTCAAACTGTCAGGACAGAGCCTGCTTGGGATTCCATCTCTCTCCCTCTCTCTCTGCCCCACCCTCACTTGTGTTCTCTCTCTCTCTCTCTCTCAGAATAAATAAGCTTAAAAAAAATCCTAGTCATAATTACATTGTCTCTTTCAAATTGAAAGGAGAGAATGTACTCACGCTTATTTTGAGGTTCTTGGCCCATTGTGGTTAACGCTCTTCTTGTTCAGTGGTTGGGAGAAACAGAAACCTCTGATATTTTTCTGCAAGGGTGTATTCCTGTGGGTAAAGGAGTATGCCCTCAGAAATATTTGAGAATAAACATTAATCTAACTTATTCCGGGTAAGATCAGAAAGCTCCCTATATAAAAAAAGTAAGTCAAAAGAAGAAGTCTTTTCAAAAATGGGGGACATACAGCAAAGACAAAAAGGAAATTAGGAAAGCAACACCCAAAAACAGTCAGTAGAAATTTCCATAAGTATGTTGAGATCACTAGATTAGTGTGTCTTGTGGAATTTCTCAATTTGTTTTTATTCATTCAAACAAAAAGTTTAGCAATGCCCCCCAAAAGAATCATTATTATGTCTTATAAAAATGTAATAAACGTTCCCTTGTCTCTTTTTTTTTCCCAAGGCAGTTACATGTTTGACGTAAATTCTCCCCTAAGAAGTTCTCTGAGCTCAGATAGCTGTGTACAAGATGGCAAAAGACAATGTGCGCAACGAGCTAAAACTTTGAATGTACGCAGTGTATACATGTGGTATGTAAAGACGCAGGAACTTTTGTTCTGGGGTCGAAGAAGGGATGGTGGAGCTGTTGATCAATTCCCCGAATCTTCCTAGGTGACAGGAAATAAGCTCGTGAAGGCAAAGGAAAAGGAAATGTAACATTCCGTGATAGAGACTCCATTAGGGTCCTTGGCTTCATTTGCAGTACTGTCATGGGCTGGATGTTTGTGTCCCCTCCCACCCACACTGGCCCCATGAACTCAAGTGTTCCAGCCTCTAGAACTGTGAAAAATAAATGTCTGTCATTTAAGCCACCGATCTACGGTATTTTGTTACATCAGCCTGAGATCACAAACACAAGCATCTAGCAGCTTAGAGATCTTTCTTAAATTCTAGCTTCCAAAACATGGCCATCCGCCGGCATTCTTCCTTAAGCTACAATATTACTTTAGTATATATACATACACATACACATATATATTTAGTAATCTTGAAGGAAATACTACTTTGTTATGTTACGTTGGGAGTTGAAGGAAGTAAAATTATAAATTTGACAACACATATTTTTCAATGCTCTCACCACCAAAAGGATTCCCACAGCAATAACAGTACTTACTCACAAACCCTTGGAAGCAACCCTAGAAACTAGATCACTGTCTAAAGTAATATGTGTTCTCTATTTTAAAGGTTTTTATTCATTTTGAAAGAGAGAGAGAACATGCATGCATGTGAGCAGGGTAGGGGCAGAGAGAGAGGGAAAGATAGAATCCCAAGCAGGCTCCGTACTGGCAGTGCAGAGCCCAATGAGGGGCTCAAACCTATAAACCATGAGAGTATGACCTGAGCCAAGATCAGGATTTGGATGCTTAACCGACTGAGTCACCCATATGCCCCAATATGTGTTCTTTATTAAAAGGATCAGGAGTCCAATGGGGCGCCTGGGTGGCTCAGTGGGTTAAGTGTCCCACGTCAGCTCAGGTCATGATCTCACTGGTCGTGAGTTCGAGCCTCGCGTCAGGCTCTGTGCTGACAGCTCGGAGCCCAGAGCCTGCTTCGGATTTTGTCTCTCCCTCTCTCTCTGCCCCTCCTTCGCTCATGCTCTCTTTTGCTCACTCTCTCTCTCAAAAATAAATAAACATTTACAAAAATTTTAAAAAAAGGATCTTCATCAGAGAATCCTTTCAAATAAGCAAAGTAACGTGCAGCAGCCAGGCCCAAAATGGAGATAAGTCTATGGAATGTAAATCTGAGAGATTTGTTAGGGTAAAGGATCCAGAATAATGCGCTATTCAAAACTTCACAGTGCACTGTTGCAAAGCCTGTTAGTTGAGAAAATTCTGAGCTGTGCATTCTTTGGGGTTGTGCAATCTCCTCCACACCACGGGTTTCTCGGTTCTGCCATTTTCCTTTTAATGGCTTTTGTCATACTGTCCTGCAGTATCTCATAGATGAATTATTGCTCTAAAGTGAAAGACACATTTCAGCCTCAAATCTTGGGTCATAACTTAGCAAAGAAACAGTTTGTTGCCTTCAAAGTATTTGGACTCATTCTAATGATGGAACCTGAAAAAGATATATATATAGGAAATAAATGTACCAGGGAAATTCCTCATGAAGAAGCCAGGAAGGGGATGGAAATCAAAATGAATCACTCGATTAGTCGCAAATCTTTTTTTAAGTTAATTAATTTACTTTGAGAAAAAGAGAGAGAGCTGGGGAAGGGCCGAGAGAAAGGGAGAGAGAGAGAATCCCAAGCAGGCTCCATGCCTCACAGCCCTGACTTAGGGGCTCGATCTTACAAACTGTAAGATCATGACCTGAGCAGAAACCAAGAGTCCCACTCTTGGGGTGCCTGGATGGCTCAGTTGGTTAAGTCTCTGACTCTCCATTTCCACTCAGGACATGATCTCACAGTTTCAAGGGTTGGGGCTCCATGCAGCCGTCTCTGAGTTGACATCCTGCTTGGGATTCTCTCTCTCTCTCTCTCTCTCTCTCAAAAACAACATTAAAAAATAAAGTCTGACACTTAACCAACTGAGCCACCCAGGTGCCCCTAGTTGCAAATATTTAGAAAGCATCTACTTCTTTCACTAATTCCACAATGTACCTGTTATATACCTGGGACTTTCCCCGAGCACTGGGCAAAATTGGTCCAAATTATCTGCCTTCCTAGTGTGGACACAGCACTAGGGAAAAACATTTTCAACCAATGCTTATATATTTAATTAATATTGCCCCGGAAGAATTACTGGATAATGATGAAGAAAAATGGGAGAACATAACCCAGGCTGGGGCTGGAGCAGGGGTGAGGAGGAAGGAAGGGATGACTCAGAAGTTGAGTAGGAGTTGTCTGCCGCTCGCTTCCCTACCATGTGCCCGGAGATTTAAAGAAAATACGAGGTTGCATAGTTAGTAAATGACTCATTAATTAGGTGAAACAGGGTCCCTTTCAAATGTGACCGAGACTCAGTGTTTTACAAGATACTTCTCTCATTCTTTGTCCTACGATAATGTTACGAAAGCAAAAACATAAAAATGACAAACTAATGCTCACAGACTCAAAGAAAGGAACCTAAACTCTTCCAGAGAGAAAAAATACTCCTCAAAGGAAAGAAATGAAGTTGACATGTGACTTCTTATCACTGTACCTGGTTTACTAAAATTAAATGATATTATACCTTCATAGGTCACCAGGAGTATGTTTTCTCACCTCAGGGAAGGTTTGTGGGACAGGGCCAAAGAGAAAATTCCTCGTAATGAACACTATCCCTTTTCCCCCTTTGTTTTTCAGAAGATGGTGATACTTGGAGTGATTAAAGGGAACATAAAAAGATAGAGGGGAGCTTTCCAAAGACTTCCATGTGAACAAAAGTTGTCTAATTCCGGTAACCCTGAGAATGTATACACTGCCTCCTGACTAAGATCCCCAAACTGGAAAGGCCTCAGAGAATAATGGTTGAGTTCCTCCAGGGAAACTGGACTGTGGTCACAGAAAATCTGATGCCATCCACTACCCAGATCCCACACAGACTTGAACACTGGGACAAGCAGTGGTGACCCTACTGAAGATGCACCCAAGATTAAGAGTTCCTCTCTCTTTAATGGGCAACACATAAGCTCCTTGGATCCTCCCGTAATTGCAGTAAGGGGAAAATAAGCCCCAACATGACTGAGACTGAATTTTCTACCCACCAGGCTGGGACGCCAGAGTCTCAGGATCAGATTTACTTTTACTTAAAAATGCGAAATTGGGGCAACTGGGTGGTTCTGTTGGTTAAGCGTCTGGCTTTGACTCAGGTCATGATCTTGTAGGCTGGGAGTTCAAGCCCCGCGTGGGGCTCTGTGCTGAGAGCTCAGAGCCTGGAGCCTGTTTCAGATTCTCTGTCTCCCCTTTTCTCTGCCCCTACCCTGCTCATGCTCTGTCTCTCTCTGTCTCTCAATAATAAATAAAGGTTAAAAAAATTGTTTAATGTGAAATTATTTGCACATTTAAGTTTGCAGACTGAGAGCTATACCCACAGCAACAAAGAGAAAGGCACGGTATACAAGAAACAGTAGCTCCAACCAGGAGAGCCAGTAAGGGAAGTCCTTGGATGGTTGCTGTGAAGAGTACGGCTCCTGTACAGGGCAGCAGATGGAGGGCTCTGAGAAAGCCAAATTAAAGCTCAATTCCATGCAAGAGACACACTAATTAGATGAGTTGAAAAATAAGGGCATAACAGAAATAGGTTATCCAAGAAAAAGCAATTAGCAATACCAAGGGGAGAAGCTACAGGAGAAAGTAGAGTCCAATTAGGAAGCAAATTAAAATGCAGTTTGAGTTAAAATAACTTACGGTGGGGCAGCTGGGTGGCTTGGTCAACTAAGGGTCTGACTCTTGATTTTGGCTCAGGTCTTGATCTCATGGTTCAGGAGGTTGAGCCCCACATCGGGCTCTGTGCTCACAGCATGAATCCTGCTTGGGATTCTTGCACCTGCTCATTCGGCGCACCCACTCATTTACTCTCTCTCAAAATAAATAACACTTTAAAAAAATACCTAACGGAATCTAAGCAAACAGAACAATCGAGACGTGGGACCTATAAAGAAGGAAGCATACTCTTAGCCCATCTTTTGGCCCAAAAGAGTCATGATCATGTAAAAGTCTGTTGACTAGAGTTAGCCTCTGTACAGAACATGGGCACTTGATCATAGCTGTGGTAGAAAGTGAGAGCCAACAACCTTGACAAGGTAAAATTAAAAATGTGACTCACCATGTGGTTACCAGAGGGGAGTTTGGGGGAGGGGATGGGTGAAATAGATGATGGGGACTAAGGAGGGCACTTGTGATGAGCACAGGATGATGTATGGAATCACTGAATCACTGTATCGTACACCTGAAACTAATAGTACTCTGTATGTTAACTAACTGGAATTAAAATAAAACTTAAACGACAAAATGAAACAAGCAAATGCAAATTGACTGAGAAAAGACAGGAAGGAAACATGGGAAGAAAGATGAGGAGCAGGGGCATCTCTTCTCTTTTAGTAGGAATATACCCAAAAAATGG